GTAATTTATGTTAACAAAGACTGAAGATCTCCTTATGTTATTCTGCATCTTCAGATATGAATTACGTAAGGTCTACAGGGAGGCATCATCTTGTCATGTCCAACGACATTGTTATCTCATCCTACGATGAGATGTTTTGCTAATAGAACTGATTTCTTCTTCAAGTTTCCTTCATATCCAAGTTCTTTTTTTGTTCGTAATTATTTATTTTACAGTATATATCTTAGGATTTAAAAGAAGATTATAGTATATATCTTAGGATTTAAATGAAGGATTATAGAAAGATTTTAGATTAAAAAAAAGATTCAACCTAATGTCTTGCGTTCGTGACATAAAATTGAGGATGTATTAGAATAGCTTTTTACGCTCGGGAGGCCATCCTAGAGAGAGATCCTTGCAACGGTGATAAGAACCGATCACCGAGAACATATGTGCTGAATTATGAAAGCTGGCGCCGCAGATAGTCGATTGTGGAAATAACCTTCCGCGTAGATGGATACCTAAAAAGGCAAACCTTTTCCGATCACATAATACCTTGCCTTTTATAAATAGCTTTAGCTTTTCTATAATAAACTGTAATAAGATAAATAAGAGGATCAGAGTGTAATAGAACTTTGTTCTTTATGAAATCAATTAATGAATGTGATGATTTGTCTTGCGAAAATATTATTGTTTCAACAATTTAATTATGAAAACATTTTTATTAATTTTCTTAACTTTTGAATTAGATTAATAAATATCGTCTCTAATAATATGCCAAGTAGAAGATTTCAATGAACAACATTTTTTCATAAATATCTCTTGTTTACATAAATTAATTTTTTTAAGTCATAATTAAGTTAATTATATAAAATTTAATTTAATTTAATTTAAATTTGATGTAAGACATTTATTTTTATTGAGAATAATTATATAATTATAAGATACTATTCTTATTGATTGAGAATCTGTTATAATAAATTATTTAAAGAATATATATATAATAATACAATTTAATTGATTATTTAATACTTAATATAGATACTTAATATAGTTGTGTAGATGTTTTAATATAAACATAACGTACAAAATTGATGTTTTATACATTAATCGTTTATTAATTTTAATATAAAATATATTTAAAACGTTTTTACGATATGAGAACTATTATATATAATAATATATTAAATTTTGAATATTGTTATTAGATTTTATTTAAAACATTTTTTAAATTTATAATAAGCAAATTAATTTATTATTCTTCGCATTTCAACGTGAAGGTATTTATTAATAGACAACTAGAAAATTCAAAGGGAATACCGTATTTCCTTAGCGAATTCGTAGGTCTTATTATGTTGAAATCAATACCTCTTTTATTATTATAAAACATCATTTTATTATAATTATTGTTTATAACTGTTTATAGTAGACTTTATAATTGAGGAACTTTAAAGAGCGTGGTTTTATAAATAAATAGCCGGATAATCATAAATTTAAATTTTATTTAAATTTGAATATATTTCATTAAAATTAATATTATCTCCTTAAAGATAGAATTTTTCTGCATTTGTTTACCAATATTTTTATCATCGGAAGTACTCTTGGAAGTACTCTTTAATTGAGATACCGTTTATAAATATTTAGTTGGAAAATCGTCAGAATTTTTCTTAGCATTTCTATGATGATTTATAGTCGGGAGAGTAGAAAAAAACTGTATGGAGCTTAAGTGAATAATGGAGATAAGGGTTGACGCAACGTTGTTTCTGAAAGAAAACTATCAGATAACAGATAATGGATATGTCATCTCAATCAACATTTTCTAAATTTTTATGTCTTTGCTATTTTTAATGTCTAATAAGATATATTTATTTTTTTTACATACAACTGGATCCTCAAATTCAACAAGAATAAATAGAAACTTATATAAAATCCTATTTTATATTTATTTTACTATATTAAAGACTTATTAAATATATATAATATAGGATTTATTATCATTCTTCTCTTGTTTTTCATTATTATTGTACAATACTCATATATATTTAGAGATTCTGACAATTTTACTCCTGCAAATCCCCTAATTATTTTCCTTATTTGATTTTGCGATTTGATAAAGAAATATATACCTTAAATAAGTATTAATTATAATATTGATTAACACTTATTTAATAACAGAATTAAATTTTTTATGAGACATATTAAATAAATAAAAATTAATGCGCGTTTTATCATAAAAATCATATTTCATAAAAAAAAGGAAAAGGATTTAATTACTAGATCATGTTGCTACACATGACTAGCTCAAGACAGAAAGTTCGAAGGGTTTATCTTTTGCTTTGAAAAGGAAATGCCAGCATATCATCTTTATTATAGAGTTAGTTTGAATTACCACAAGATGGATCGACCATTCTCCGAAGCTTTCCGAAGGAAAATCTAACCGCTCTCCTGTTCAATTGCCCTCCTGTGAAGGAGGGGTTAGAGCAATTTGTCTGAAACGTCCCCTTGTAACCCACGAAACATTAAAAAAAAATACAATAAAAAAATAAGCATATTTCTTTAACTATATACTTATAGTTATGTTTTAATTTCAATGACTCAATATTAACACATGTTAAAATTGAGCAAATTTACAAAAAAAATAATGAATAATAAATATTTTATTTAGAATAAAAAACAGTTTAATATTTAAAAAATAAGTGATTAAAGACAATTTCTGTTTGCATAGAAATTTATTCATTTTTATATGAAATATTAAAAATAGATCTCTCTCTCTTTTCTTTCTTTCTTTCTTCTCTCTCTCTCTCTCTCTCTCTCTCTCTCTCTCTATTGCGCTCTCTTTATATCTGATACTTTATTCAACATTGCATCAAAATAATGAATGCAAATTAAAGATATTAGTTTATTAAAGATTTTAATAAACGAATAAGAATTTTTTTAATTAAACGCTACATCTTAATTTGTAATTATTGTAATCCGTGCATTTTGTATTTCTGAATCTTGAAAGCTAATATGTAAAAATTATTTTCTATCAAAAAACTTATTGCGATAAAAGTAAACAGATGAAATTGTTAATAGTTCTTTATGCATGACTTAATATATTAGATTTTTTTACTTCTCATTTGGCTTTAACAGAAACTTATATTTCCAGACTATCTTAGATTCTAATACTCTGTGAGTAATTCATGACATCACTGTACTTAAGACGTCAAATATAAGAATCGATTATCAATACCGACTATAGGCCATAACAGTCTCCTTAATATTTTCCTTGAGAAAGAGAAAGTTCCGTGTTTTCTTTATCATAGAATTTATCTGCTTGCTTTTTTCCTTAATAGACATATTATTCACATGTGTCGATAATTTTATAAGTATTTTTACAATTGAAGTGGAAGCGTATAATATATTTTATATATAATTATTTCACACCAATATATCACCACATGTTTATAAATTATTTGTTTAATATTCATGATGGTCTGTACACTGCTGATTTAATTTATAAATGTCAAAAGTTAAAATTAGCATGCGGTTCATTAATTTGCGAATTAAAACCCAAATTTGCGCTCTCAAAAAACAGCATGCGTTAAGCAGGCATACATAATCTGTTGATTTTCCCCGAAAATTTAGTAAAATATGTATTATTTAAATTATTAGAGATTTGTCCTGAAATATTCATTCTGAATTCCTGAAGGTAACAGAACAGTCTCTCTCCCGACTATCACGTTTTTCAACCAACTCACCTAACTTTGTTTTAGGTAGAGTAATAGAGATGTACAAAATTAATTATCTCTGTGAATAAATTTGTTAACGAAGTTTCTGAATCGCATTACTTTCATCTCGAAATTCGTCTAAACTTTTCGAATCTAATATCAAAAAGTGAGACACATTTTCGAGAAGTAGCATGAGATCTTCTTGTTTTAATCAGAAATGAGAAATTGTGCAAAATTTTTTTCAAACAACAGAATATTCTAATAACAGAGTGTTTGCGTATGGTCAAAATAATTGAAAGTTTAAAAATTTTATATCTGTATCGTTATGAAGCCGAAATCGGCCGGAAAGAATTAATGGGTTTGCCATTTTATCTTGAGAAAAAATGTCAACATAACGAACGATTCTATTGCTCAAGCAGGTGGTCACTGGATAAATGAAGGAACGCGTCGAAGAACGATAGTGTCCAATGTGCCATGGCAGTTTATTGCGGTACCTTGTTTTCTCTCGAGCGAGATCCCTTTTGAGAATTATAAATCACGCATCCACAAAAACGTTTTTTGTCCTGTATGTGAATAAAAGAGTTTTGGAGAAATTGTCTCTCCAATGTTTTCGACGATGCAATGCATCGATATCAAAAGAGTTTTTTACTTTTTTAATAAAATATCATTGTATTACTTGATTTAATATTCAATTAATGCACTCGTTACGTCATTTTTAAAAGGAATTAATTTCTTAATTATTGAAGTGCTTAATTTTAAAATGTAATCGGAATTAATTACGAACGTATCTAATTTTAAAATTTTATTTTAATCATCAAATGATGTGATCTGGCAATTAAGTCTTTATTTCTTTGAGATACTTTTATGTTACTATTTATAATTATTTTTTATATATATTATTAATAACACGTATTTGTATCAAAAAAATTTGATCAATATTATAACTGTAAAGCGTGAACTTTGTTGTTAAGATAAATTGATTCCGTGTTCTGACTTTTGAAATAAAATATCACAGAACTTGCTGATTTTTTACGTCATTTCGTATACTGTCTTTATGATCATATTCTACTTTCGTTAACAAATAGAAAGTTAAAAACAAGTTAAAAAAAAATGAATTTAAATAAAACTTTGAAGAATTTTTTCATTTAACTATTTTATTACATTTTATATTGCTTACAAAAGCAATGTTCTCTTTTATTTTATTATTGTAAGTTTAATGGAAGTATATTGTTAATCATGCAAAAGTTTGCTTCAGCAAATAGTTAAAAAAAATACACAATATTGTTTTAGATTACCTAAAAACTGTTACAGGTAAGGCTGTTCCATTCGTGGAATTGACTGTGGCTCATGCTTCGGTTCTCACAATTTTAGCCATCAGCTTCGAACGGTATTACGCAATCTGCGAACCTTTAAGAGCGGGGTAAGTACAGCATAGCTTTTTACAGCACTACGCCTAGAATTATTGCAGAAAGCCTCCAATAATTAGTTATAGTTATAATAATATGTAATAATAATTAAAGAGTAAATGAAAGTGAACAATAAGGAGTTAAATTTATTTATAGATTTAATTCGATTGAATTTTTATGTTATATAGATATGTTTGCACAAAGGCAAGGGCCACCTTTCTTTGTTTCTTGGCATGGGTGGCAGCGGCGTTGTGTACAAGGTGATATAAAACACTGAAAAATCTACAATTTGCTTTAATAATGCTCTGCCGTTATCTTTCTTTACTTGTCTTTTCTTTATTTTTTCTCTTGTTGCATGAGCATTTTTTCACTCTCTTCATATCTCGCTTTACGTCATGTTCACGTAATACGAAGCCACCACCTATACTTTATTATTAGGTGTTGGAATTAATTCGTAGCGTTTTACAAGTGATGGGAAGTACTTTCATTAATGTATTTTTTAATGCTCATGTGAAATAAATAACATTCTTTCATTTAAAAACGCTACGAATTAATTCCAACACCTAATAACTTTTGCCGTAAAGAGTGTTTCACAACTTAAGTAAAAGTCACTTTATTTAATTTTAATTAAAATCCAATTTAGATGACATAATCCAAGCTTAAAAATAATTTCGATAAATTGAGTATTGAGGAAAAAATGAAACTTATTTAAAAATTGTACTGAGCATTTTTTAAATCATATTCTTTTGAAAAATGTTTAATAGTTTACAGAAGTCTTACTTTTATAAAAAAAGTACTTTTATAAAAAATTATGCAAGATTTTCATTTATCGTTTATGAATTATAATATTTAATCAAGAATTTTACTCATTTTTATTATTAGTTAATGCTTTAAATTTTAATAAAAAATTGAAGTGTGACTATAAAGTAGTTATAGAATTTAAAAAGTTTAGAATTCTGGAATTATAGAATTTGAAAAGTTGAGAATTCTGAAATATCTAATACACGTGTAATACGAATCAAACAAAGACATTTTAGAAATGTATAAAAACTACTTTTTAACAATGATATATTTTTGTAGCATAAGTACGTGATATGGTGCTTAACACATATTTTCTTTCATTTCTACAAAACTGTTAATTATGATGCATCGCGATGCATCAAAATTCATATTGCATGCGTAAAGCAACAGTTAGACAAGCTGCATTCAACTGAATGCAAGAACATACATGTCGCCTGTGTCGATTTGTAACAAGATATTCCTTTAACTTCATTGTTTCATTTGAATCTATTTAATGTATTTTTAATTTTAAATAATAGCGCTTCGTAAAATTAAGTTGCTTTTAATATTTTTACATTTTATGATTTCTTTGACAATTTTTTGTATTTAAATATTTCTGTATAACAAATATGTACAAATATGTCCAAAGATTTACGGAATTTAGATTTAAGGGAATTGATCAAATTTTTCAAATACCTCGAACGTTTCAAGCTTCAAATATTCATAATTCAAATTCGAGCATTTCTCGAACAGAACAAACAATTGAGCTGTTTAATTGATTATTTGAAGATCCAACAGTCAGAACAATTTAATTAAAAATGCTTACTGCAAATAGTAATTTTTATTTCCCTTTTTATAATATGTTATCTAATTTTATGTTACCATTTCAAAATTCAATTTTGAATTATTTAGACATAGTAAATATACAAACAATATATACAAACAATATATAATTTCGAACTATTTAAATAAACGCATTAAATTATATTAGATGTTTATTTCAATTATAGTGTATTAAACGCGTACAGGAAACGGAAGAGTAGGATTTACGTCAGTTTAGCTTAACGATGAAAGATTTGTCATATTCGTTCCGCGCAGTTGTATGTCTTAGTGATAAGAGACGTTGATTCAACAAACAGCTGACTCTGTCTTGCAAGAAAAGAGGACTAGTTTTAAAGAGTCTATTAATTCTTCAAATTCGAGCTAAGTTATATTTATTTTTTAACACGCGATGCAGTTCGGAAAAAATCGAAAATATGAAACCTAGTAATAATAAATGTATTTCTAACTTTTTAATATTTGAGTATCTACATACAATTGTAATAAGTGTTTGTATTTGTAAATGTAAGTGTCATAATATTTGTCGTCTATTTTATTTTGTACGAACATTAAGTAAATTCTTAAGTGATAACTGTTGTTAATCATTACAGAAATAGAAATGTTTTGTTAACGCACTGTTTCAACGTTTCTAAGATGACATATTTTTTTGACGAATTTTTAGCGAATAATGAAGTGATGTAATTTTTTATTTGCAATTTATTTTATTATATTTTGTTTGAATAACTTTAGTTTGAAAAACAAATTGCTGCTATTCTAAAAGATATCTTACTAAAAATATCTTACTAAAGATATCTTACTAAAGATATTTTACTATTTATAATTTCTAGTTGAAGAATTATGAATAGCTTAAATGAAACGTTTCGACGGTACCAAGAGATCGCAATTTGCTATTGCATGCTCATTCTCAATAGGATAATTAACGAGCGATGTCATATAAAACAATATATTTTACTTGCATTATACACGTCATGTACAGGAACTTCGTGGTTTTATAAATGTTAGGAATTTCTCGTAGAGTTCGCTGGATTGCACAAGTACAAAGATATTCGAGCAACGTAATTGAATCCCTTTACTCCGAGATGCAAGATGCGTGAACATTCACGTATAGGGCAAGTTATAGAGGTATTGCACGCAAGAATTGCTGCATATAAACATATATACAAGAATATTGTACCAAGAAAATCACAATTCCCGGAATTCTTTAAAAATTTCATTTTTTTCGAGTCAAGTTAACTGTTGCGAATATTACGGAGCGCATTGTATTCTAACAATTCAGCAACAATGACGAGAATCCCATGAAAGTAAGTTTTTTTATATATCGTCGTTCTTTACATGAAAATGTATTTCCAGTCGTATTACGCATTTGGCTCATAAAAATACGCTAATCATAATAAATTTAAAAAAGCTTTGACTATTATGACATTTACATCTCTAAACTATTGAAGTATTGGAGCATTGAACTTTTGATAAAAAAGTATTAAAGTCTAATGTACCAGACGTGTCGTGAAAATCGAGATGTTAATATTCCAGTAAGTAGGGAAAAATCGAGGGGATGAGCGATATCGTTATCATAAAAAAAATTTAGTAGAGAAACGTATAAGATCCTTGCTCGCTCTAGCAAACTTTTATCTCGAATCAACGCATTTAAAGCGCTATAAATGCACAAACTCATCAATATGCAAGTGCTCGATTGTGTTCTTATTGCAATTTTCCTCGTAAAACAGATTCCCGCCAAGTTCATTCAAGGAAGGTATCGTTTGATATCCTTTGCGTAAAATACATGCGATTATTATTCCTTTCCCGAATATGAAAATAGCTAATACGTATTATAAATAAATAATTATAATGAATAATTCGGACTTAACGTTAGAAAGACGACTTGAGATGTTAATCTTATGTTTGATAAAAATAAGATTTAAGATCGCCACGTATTCTTTGAAATGTATATTATATTTTGAAGAAGCAGCTTCTTGTTGGTTTTGATAATTAAAGACTTTTAATAATTTTTCAAAAACTTTTAAATGTCAAAAATGCCGATAGTTAACAAAATTTTTTTATTTTTGTATTTATCTTTCGTATATATATTTTTTAATTTTATATAACATTATTTAAAAAGGTGCATGCCTTGTAATTTTAAATAAATATTTAATTAAAAAATTAATTTAATTTTGATATTTGCAAAATAATAACAATTTTAAATTCACACAACTGCATTAGATGAATGTATCTTCGATAAATGACAATATACGTAATTTATATGTTAGCCAAAAATTTCATATTGTTCTCTGAAAATAGTTTTGAAACCGTTGGCTTAGTGATATCGATTGCATACAAGTCACGTGCTTTTTCTCGGAATGCACTTTAATCAAAAATAAGACAGAGAAAAAAGAAGGACATGCAAGCATGGTTTTTGCTCGATAAACTCCAGGCAAGCACATTTTTCTCTTATGCCGAAATGCTCCGTGATGAAAGCAGATACATGTCCACACTTTCATAAGATTGCAGACTGCCATGCATGAGGAAAGTATCACGTATAAACATTCCTTATGAAAATGTGTAGATGACGTATATTGTTATTCGAACACGTGTCTTGCATAATGCATGCTTGAGCACATGTTCGCGATAATATTTAAAGCGAAAACTTCCTTACGACTTCTTCTTGGAGTGGTAACCGACGAATCTTTTGTGCTTAATAAAAACAGCGTGGGCTCGAATTTCTTATCTTTTAGAACAGAAAATTTAAATATTTACAAATTACTATATTATTAAATAATGATTAAAAAATTAATAGCTAATGTTGCTTTTTTAAAGCACGCTAATTCAAATTTCTACATCGATATAATTGTTCGACAAATTTTTTACATTATCTTAATATATTTCAGATTTTAAATGTAAAATTAAAATATCTATCAATTGACATAAATTATCAACCAAACATTTATCAATTAAATTATAAAAAATATGCAAAAACAAAAAACTTGCTATAAAAAAAATTTTAATAAAAATATTTTATGTAATTTGTAATCCTTTATTTTTAATTATGATTCCTTTTAACATGCATTTTTGTACTCAAAAAGTTTCAAAATTTTTTTTTTAAGAAGCTCGAATTAAAAATAACATAATTTAATAGGAAATATAAATTAAAAATAGTGTAGAGATGTTTCAAATTAAACTTGCAAATGAATTTACTTGCATATAAAATGAATTGTTAAAAATAATTACGAATTCATCTTTTTTTTCAAAAAGCACGGTGGAACGATACCCAAAAGGGAATAGATGCTTTCGATTTTCAGTTTATATGTAATAGATGTGAGCGCCCGAAAGAAAATATATATACGGATTCGATTTTTACTTCATAAAATCCAACTAGTCTGTATACCACTCTCACGTTCACGTTTCACCCCAATATTACATGTTGCGGTAGGACGCGCATACATGTCATAAAAGTGATATCGCCTGTAAACCAGTTCTCGAAGGAGTCTGTGTATGTCATGTACGCATTATATGTAGTTCGACGTCTTTCAGTCATCAAATACAAAGAGTCAAGTTTATAGCTGCTTACAACAGAGGGCTGAACAAACATCTTGATATTACTAAAATTGTATCTTAAACGTTCTAAAGAATTAAAATGTAAATGAAG